GTACTATACACTTGAGCGGTTCAGGCGTTCACCCGCCTCGCGTCACGTGATCTTCAGATTTCGGGATCCGAGTGAATCCATATAACGCATTATCGATCATACGTTGATAGATCTGGGGCGCATTCTGCAGGCCAAAAGGCATTCGATTCCACTCAAATAGTCCAAAAGGAGTGATAAAAGCCGATATCAAACGAGCACGATCTGTCATTTTCACTACCCAAAATCCACTTGCCATATCCAGAGAACAGTACCAAAGTGTCGACTCCAGATCTTCGAGTAGATCGTTGATCAAGGGCATTGGATATACCATCAGTTGTGGCAGGCTGGCTATTAACCAACCGGTAATCGATACATAGCCTGATGGCCACCCCATTCTTCTTAATGATCACCACGATGGAGGAAGCCCATGGTGATCTGGAATAGTAAATCATCTTGGCGGACAATAGACCCTTGATCAGATCTGCTAGCTTCTCCCTGAACTGGATCCGCAACTTACGGCATTTAAGGGCGATGGGTCTCGCTCCCCCGACATCCATATCACACACCACACCTCTAGCTGCCGGCGGAAGGGCATTTCCTTTCCCGATCAAGAGATGTCGGAACTTCCAAATCTTCTTGCGGAGTCGCTCGACTTCCTCTGGAGTTTGATCGGCGGATCCGCATAGTTGAATGTCTTCGATCTTCACATCTTCCGTCGTCACAGGTACTTCGGGCAGCACCGCCATCTGACCATCGACATCTTCGGCATATAGATCGCTTCCTTCATGATAATACACGCATTCATCATAATTTTGATCTGAGTCCCAGGTAAGATCCAGATCCGATGTGCATTGATCTTCAACAACAGGTGATGGATCTATGTCCGTTTTTGCGACATGGATGCGGCGCACTTGTCGTCGAACGGATCACCGGTCACCTGTCCTGTCCCAGTTTGTACACTCATCATTGATGGCAGATCCGATCCGCCGCATTTCGGCGGCGATGTCCCTTGATCTTGGCTTCTCGAGTATAGTTGATCCTGACTGATGTCCTCAATTTCATCCCGATCATCTTCTTCTAGCATTCCTTCCATGTCGATAGTTCCCCCACCAACGGATTAGTCGCCCCTATGTCTGGCGTCACTTGATCGAGATCTTCTAGCGCCTCCTTGACCGTTACGGCATGTGATATAGAGTCTTCGTCTGCAATAGACGAAAGATCTGACTCCTCACTTGCGACAGACGTTAGATCCAACGGTCGAATCTCCGACGGCGATTTGTCCGATGGTAACTTGTCCGACGGCGACTCGTCCGAGGGTGGGCAGTCAGGAATATCTTGATCCTGACTCACCTCGACCTTCCGACGCTGAATCACCGTCGTCTTCGGTCTTGGGAGTATCATGCATGGAGTTTCGTACTCGATCCGCTCCACCGCAGGTACCAGGGGACACTTGGCCTCCATTTCTTTAGATCGGGTGTCTGTTGTCGCTTCCAACGCTAGGTTCTGCCACTCCATGTAACGACGAGAGCCGATCGAGATAAAGCCCGGTATCCACATGATCCCCAGCCAGCCAGATCCCGATCCGTTGGTCTTGATGCAGGATCAACACCTCGTCCCCGATATAGGTGATCAAGATATATTTCGTCCTCCCTGGTCCACTGGATATTATCGGTACCCATTGATCCCCACGCGTGATCCACAGCTTGACGACCTCAGGCGCAATGGTAGTCCCACCGACTTACCTGCTTGGATCCGAAGATATTGGCCGACGTTGACGATCTTCGCCTTGTCGCTATAAAGCTGTCGCCTTCCGCTAAGCTGGATCCGGACTTCGTCCGTCAAACAAATCGATCCATGGGCTAGATCTAGGCGGATCCCAGCTGGAACCATGAAGTCCATGCCAAGTATAGCTTGTTGGCCAGTCAGATCACCTACTCAGATATCGAAGAAAACACTAGTGATCCAGCGAGAGTTACCTTGATCCAGTTCTTCCTTCTGTCTGATACACACTATCTCCAATTCCCACACAATCCTGGATCTGACTCGAGTCTATATAGCACCCAACCTTACGAGCAAAGGCGGTGTCCACGATGGACAC